TGTTTGCAGTGGTGGCTTTAGGTTCACGCAGGCATCCCACAGTTATTTGTTACTTGGCCATGGGTCAAAACCCCGTACCCCCAGTGAACATCCCAATCCCAACTAAAATAGACTTATGGTACCATTGGTTTTGACCCACAGCCATTTGTTACTATACAATGATGACAGGGTTGATGCGCGACAGGCGTTTCTTTGTTGCAGCGGGCACACTTCGAGACTGCACCGCCAACACTCTGGCATTTCGCAAGGGCACACTCAGTCCTCTTATCTCGTAATTTTCATGTCTGTGCTTATGCACGATGCCGTGGAGCTTCAGCGATCTGGCTGACCTTGTGTACGCACAGCACACTGCTGATCGGAGTCAGGGACGACCGCTTGACGGAGTACATGCACGCTGTCGCCGCTGCAGGGGCAAAAGTAGGGAAGGCAATTTCATTGGGGCAAGCTCCAGTTGCTGCCTATTCAGATGTCCATTTGCCGGACGGGGGGCCCAGTGCGCCACGGATACCATGAGCTACCTGGGCACAACTCTGACTGCCGATGGGCGGCATGCTCCAGAACTCTCCAGACGTCTGGAAATGGCAAAGGTTCTTTTTGCCTCGCTGGTGAAGATCTAGGAAGCATGCCTCTTTGAACTGGCACCGAAAGATTGACATATCTGCGCAGCGCTTCTCGAAGCAAAGCCGCTCTGCAGCCTTGCCGCTGTGTTGAATGAGGAACGAAGACGGCTCGATGGGTTTGAGAACGTGCCTGCGGCAGATTGTCGGAGTGCCATCGTACTTTTCCAGAATTCCGAACCGAGAAGTCCTGCGAGGGCTGGCAATCAGCCTGCGACAAAGCTCCTGAGAAGGTCCTCCGGCTGCCGAGCAGCTAACCTTGCACCAAGTATCCTTTATACCTGGCACCTTGCTAATTGCCTGTTACGGACAGGTACGTGCGCAGGGGAGACCGCGCAAAGAGTGGGTTACGGAGGTTCTCCCGCACGCGATTTCCAGCGCTGGGGGCGTACAGCAGTTGCTCATCTCTGTTCAGAACGAAGAACTGTGGAAGCTAAGACACAGATCCAACGTCTTGAGTTTTGCCTATCTGCATTTCCTGTTTACCGTGCACAGTGCCCAAATTCAGTTTACGCAGTCACAGCACTCGTGTGTTTATAGTTCAGTTGGACAGCGCACGCGCCGCGAGGCGAAAGGCCAATTCGCTCGCTCGCTTACATGACAGCTCTTGTGTCAACATGGAAAGGCCCAGGTGGGTGTTGAACGCCCACGGACTGAATGAGGCACTGATGTCAGTGGGGCACAAAACAAGCCACTGATGACTTCACAAAAGGAAAACAACCAAATGAGGAGCCCCGACGCCCCGTCCCCAGACTTCTGGCCAAACGGCAAGCGCCGGATGGGACCAAGGCCCGATGAGGACGGTAGCGCCCGATGGGGGCACTTTCCGTTTTGGGTGATGCTTTTTTTTTTGGGGGGGGGGGGACAGGCGAGTCTCACTCACGTTCTCTGCACATTGGAACGCAGGGAAACTCCCACTGGCAAGTGTTGCGTGCAACAGCCAAATGAGCCATGTCCTAAAAGTGTGATGACTTGCAATGTCGCATCATTCTGCGTACGTCGCTGCTTACGCATACCTTGCCAACACATGTGTGGGCTTGGGCGACACATGTGTAGATGTTGTTTACGCCACCTGCTTATGCAACCTTACGCGCGTTGAGGTGTTGCTCATGCACAGGTCGATATCACACAAGCGTACACGCAGGTTTTGGACGTTTCTTAAATGTCAATCTTTGCACCATGAAACCGCGGCAGAGTCAAGGGTCTCCTCTGTGTACTCTTTTCAAAAGGCCATGCCGCGTTGTTCATGGCGCAAACCCGCACCAAGGAGCCAAATGTCATGCCCACACAAACGAGTGAAGCGAAAGCGCAGAGATGCAGCTCATCATGACTCCAACGCAAGCCCCGTCCTGCGCAGAGGCCTCTTGGGAAAAAGCATCACCCATCTGCAAAGGCAAATGCACGAATGAAGCGAGCGTGAGTCGACCCCAGCGACGTGGGAGTTCCCGTGATTGCCATCTCTGATGTTGATGACTGTTTGGGTGTGTATCAGTGGGCAAAACACACATTTAGGAAATCAACCCATTAGTGAACACCTTTACTTTTGCATATGCCATCCCTCAAATCAGCTCAATGACCGGGCCGTCACTTGTTTTGTTTGAATGCAATAGGCGCATGTCCATGTGTTTGTCTGCTGCCACTTTCTTGGCCGCTGGACATGTGGATGTTGATTTGGGTGTGTCTTGGGCCCTCTGATTTCTTGGCTTGCCTCTGAGCAGCTGGCAGGCATGATGGCAATGGCATGCGACAAGGCATACAAGAAAGTCACCATGTCCAAATGTGATTTGTCTGCAAGGATTTTGGGCGCTCTTGCTTTTGCTGCTTGTCCCTTCAATCTGGCTCACAATCAACAATGCGATGCGCAAGCAAAGCCTCTACACCTTGCTCAGTGTGCCGTGGTGGTCTTTCATCACGAGATGAGAGGAATGGATCATTAGATCGGCTTTCTCCGGCGGCATGTCGCAGGCTGCCAACGGCACGTCCAATTTGAGATTGGCCCGGCAATCCGCCAGGGCGCAGAAACTTATGTCTGCCTCGATTTACTTCTGAGACTCTGAGAATGCCGGCCTGGACTCACAGATTGGCTTCTCTAAGACTCCCTCCCCAGACTCCGTCTTTCATCTGCAGGCCGTCTCAGCCCTTAATCTTCAGCAACCTCAAAAGAAAAAAGCGCTGCAACCAAAAGCAACGTTTATGGTCTTTCATCTGCAACTGAGCGCCTCAACAATCCTCAGCAACAGACCATGCACCTCATTGCGCCTATCAGACACGCGCACTGTGACAAATTGACATGGGTGAAACACACCTTGTACCTTTTGCTGCTGCCAGGCTATCTGAGAATGCTTGGGAATAGTAGGGCCATTCTGCTTTCATGGCAAATGGTCCTTTCTCAACATGAACACGAGTGATCAAGGCTGCCTTAGCCTTGAAGACATAATTGTTCTCGGGGGCTTTCGGATTCCGTGCTCCTTGTCGGCGCCTCTAACAACACCTGATAAGCTACCTTGCTACTCCTGACTCCAAATCAACCATGATCAACAGACTGTTCCCCCCTTGGCCAGTCACTACCCGAGCCAACTGAACACGGCCCTCCTTAGCCAAGTCAACGCCTCTGTTGGCCAAGCTGCTGCATCTGGAACACCAGCGCCGCGTTGGGTGGGATGGGGCCTGAAGCAAAGAAGCAAAGCAGCCTGCTGCCCGGGGGCCGCGGGGGCGACGACAGCTTTTTGCCAGCTGTTGGGGGCCAGAAACCGGAGTTTGCATCTTCCGTCTTCAACATCCTCAGTTGCCCAAAGGTCCCAGAAACAAAAGGTTAACCTTTTGGGACCTTTACTAAAAATAGACCAAATTAGGAAAACCAAAAGGTCAAAAGGTCGGATTTGAACAACTGAGTTCAACATCTAGAAGACTTGCACAAAGCGGGAGAAACAGGATGGCCCACGGGATCCTTCGTGGGTGCTCCCTCCCTTTCCACCTCTGGGCCGGTCGCTATGTCATTTTGGCAGATCCATCTTTCATGTCTGGCAGAACCGCGGGGGCCCTGGCAATTGGACGTTGGTCAAACTCCTGAAGCAAGCTGAAGGCTCCTTTGGCAAGCTGAAATGGCTGTGGCTCAAAACTAAACAGGAGGGGTTACACAGGTGTTGGTCCATTTTTCCACTTACCAGGGTTGCATTTCGGTGCCGGTTTTTTGAGCCACAGCCAAATCAGTTTCATCCTCTCGTCATTCTCTTAACATTGCTGCAGTACAATCCAAAAGTCATTGCCACGCCTCAGCTTGTGAGTGCATCTGTGTAAGAAAGGTGGTTCCTCTTGAATGCACTGAAGAAATGCCCATCATGTTGACGTGTGTCTCGGGAAAAAAAATGGCACGAAGAAACGAATCACCTAGCTCGAAGAAAAGAGCACGCTAACAAACAAGGATAAAAGAATCAACAAGGATTCTCTCATGAGAATTTGATCGGGTGAAAGTCCTTGGGCTACAGTGTGGGTCAATGGCATCCAACTTCCATGAAGCTTTGCAGCAGTCCCTCCTGACCCCTCACCCCGTCAGGAGGGAAGGCTTAGTACACCTTCAAGGCCGTTGCTTGCGTTCGTAAAGCTCCTAGGGGCGGTTCCAGAAGGCAAGGGTCATAAACTGGTACAACACTTGCAGTCCAAAGAGACCCAACTTGTTTAGGGTTTAGGGTTGTGGTAAAACACTTGCAGTTCAAAGAGATCCAACTTGTGCAACATCCCACGGCCCTGGCTCAGTTTGTTCCCAAACCCCGCCACTGACCCCCCCGATCCGAAGGGATCCTTCCGAAAGGAGCCGCCAGTGAGCCTCCCGCCTCCTGGCGTGCCCTCATCCCCGTAGCCCAGCTCCGAGGGGATGTAGAGCTCCCACTTGTCCCCCTCCTTCATGAGCTGCATGGCCTGCAACGCACACCTTTCGGAAGGCTAGTCAAATCCCATGAAGAAACCCGGGAAAGAGTTGTTGGCACGAACACGCAATTAACAAAAACGCTTGTTACATGTGTGTTATTCTTGTTCTTCTTCTTATCCTCCTCCTCCTCCTCCTCCTCCTCCTCCTCCTTCTTCTTCTTCTTCTTCTTGTAACTGGAGGGTGCTCATCCATCCGCCCTTGCCAGGTGCCGGCAGCCACGCCGACAAAAGGAAGCGCGTAGCGCTTTCGATTGGCAGCCTTTTTGAGAGCGCTCGGTTTGCAAGCTGCAGCTCGGATTCACCTTTGAAAGAGAAGGCAGCGTTCGTTTTTTGTCAAGGCGCAAAGTCTGGCTGGCCTATGTATGTCAGGGAAGAATCTAAACACTTGTGTAGGGCCACGTGCGTTTCTCCTGGGCCCTTGAAAAACCCGGATGAAGGCTTGTTGGCCGCAATTACACCTGATGGTTCTGGTCGACCTTGGACAAACAAAGCAACCAGACAAGCTGCTCTCACTCGGATCGGCCAAATGACTTTACTTGATCCACTGCCCTATGCGACTAGACAGAACGTCTACTCGATACCTTGCTGCACAAAGGCCTCTCAGTGGTTGAAGCGGCGTCTCTGCTTAGCTGGACCAATGTGAAACCAGCAAAAACCATGAAGCCAAAGGGACCTCCCATGTTTTGACCTACCCTTCGATTCACAAACCAGGCATAGCACCAAAACCTCCAAACTCAGAGCAACCAAATTTCGGATTCCGTGGCTCATGTTGCCCAGTGCTTTCCAGCCTCCGTCCAGCCCGCAATCACCTGCGCGGAAATTGTGTTCGCCCAAGCGAAGCTTCGCTCTGGATACGCCTCCTTACTCCCCCCACAGGAGTAGACGCACGGCGATTGAAATATATCGACACCACGGGTTGACATTGAAGTTCCCTTCCTCTCTGCTGACAATTCATGATTCTGTCAGAACCACAAATCAGGCCGTGCTTGTTGTGCTTTCCAGCTTCCTTGCAAAACAGAACAACCGTATCACAAAAGGGATGCTTGGCGCTAATTACGATCCTCCATTTGCTTAAGCCCCCTGGAGAAGCACATACATATTTCCAGTGGTGATAGATTCCCCTTAAACCCAACAGGGGTTTAAGCAGCAACTATTCACTTCAGCAAATGGAAGTGGCCAACAGTCACATTGAGCCATCTCCCCGTTTTGCCGGCAAAATCTTGGAGCACCTCTACCCTCCCGCGTCCGCCTGCGAGGGGGCGAAGGTCAAAGGCTTGCCGCGCTTGTACGAGGAGTCGAACTCCCTGACGCAGGTCAAACCGAAAGGGCCTAGGGGAAGCCAATGCTCACAGGGTCAGCTCCCTTGTGTAGCCAAAAGAATTGGGTGAGAGGGCAACCCCTAGGAGTCTAAAGTTGTAAGTAGAACGTAAATTGAGCCAGCGGCTCAAGGAAGATCATGTGCACACTCTCTTTCTCTCTCTATGACTCTATTGATGCTACTACTGTACCGGTGTTTGGCTTTACATACAGCGCAAACAGGCTGCAGCTATGCACACTTGCCAGAATACAGAAGTGCAGTAATGAAGATCCCAGGCAAAACTCAGTCTTGAGTCATTGCTTATATTGGCCCATAGGTGTAGCGATAGCATGTTGGGCTTGCAATGGTACTGGGAGCAAATCTAAACGCAGGAGGAGATATGTGCTTCTTTCGTGCACAAACTGAGCCCGTGGATAGTTGGCTCGGGCCACAGGGTAGGGTTGCCTTGAACAAATTGAGGTACACTACCTGAGTGCCGAAAGGCTTGGGATCGGCTGCCGGCGATAAGATGGCAAGAGATTGTTCGTTGAAGTCTTGTCGTGCTCGTCTTGCTTGAAGCACAGGTTTGGCTGCAACCCACAAAACGTGCATTGGTGGCAGCGCCCAACTTGGACTCTGGCTGTCCGTTGATGAGCTGCCCGGCGTAGTGGCAGTCCTTGGGCGATCCAAGCAGCATGCCGCGCAGCTTTGTTGCGTCTCAGTTGTTCAGTGACCCTGGAAAAAAGAAAAACCCTTTTTGGGGAAGACCATTTTAGTGGGGCAGCCACCAAAACAAAGGGGAGAAAGGGTGCCACTGAACAACTGAGGCGTGGTCAAAACTCGTTTACATGCAAGATTGCAGCACCTCAACTTGCAACGAAGCGAGGTCAAACTCGAGTTCTCTTTCAATACTTTGCTCACAAAGCCTCGGCTCACGCAACGTGCAAAGCAGCACTTGGAGTGAAATCCGTGGACCCCGGCGGCAAAACTGCTCCACAAGAAACAAAAAGGCTTAACAAACCTGACCCAGTGTTTCTAGCTCACTTGGCCCAATCAAACCCTGGGAATTCCCGTCTTGAAAAAAGGGCAGACACGCAACACAACAAACCCACACACCCACACACGTTCCCGGATTCCTCCCCTGCCGCCTGCTCGCGATTGACCCCGAAATTTATTGGGCATTGCCCCAGACAAAACAAGGCTGTGCGCGTTCCCGCGCAGCTGCCTGTGGAAGAACCTTGAATGCTTAAGTGTCACAACAACCGTTGTGGCTCCATCTGCGATGTCTCTGATATGTTTGAATATGTCTTACTAAGGGGGATGCCTCCAAAAAGGATGCTGTTGTTTGGCCATTCTGCAATGTACCCAGTATAACCCAAGGGAAAATAACCCATATTCATTTCAGCAAATGGAAGGAACCCCAGAAACCCTACCTTCCAAAACTCAGCTGCCCAGTGGCCATGGGAAGAAAGACTCGGCATCCTTGTTTGGTTGACCTTAACTCATTTGCCCAAAGGACCCATCAACAAAAGGTTAACCTTTTGGGACCCCTACTAAAAATAGACCAAACAGGGAAAACCAACAGGTCAAAAGGTCGATTCGCTTTGAACTGAGTCAAAGGAGGGCCCTTTCCCAAAAGAAAATGAAAAAAACGGGGCGACCTCCACTCACCGCCACTGGGCAAACGCCGCCGGAAACCGCCGAGCCGCGCAGGGCGTGTTGGGGCCCGGGGATCTGGTGCCCGTGCCGGTCTCCAGCACCTGAAATTGTCCCACGCTGGGGGCCGAACGGGTCTGTCTCTTTTTGGGGGGGGGCACCCCTGTGTAGTTGGTGTTGAAGGGAAACCAACAAGAAAGCGGACATGTTTGAGGGGGTGTTTGAGGGGGTGCCCTGAAAAAAGAAAAACATGCTCAAATGTGTCAGGGACTGGAGAAAAAAAAGGATTGTCATCCCCAACTGGTGTGTTGGGCACATTTAAGATGAATGTGAAAAAGGGCGTTGAGGCCGCCCAAAAACAAAGCAAAATAGGCGTGTTACTTGCCATATTGGCCATGCGTTGGTTTGTGGGATCAGGCTGGGGTTCAAGTGGGTGGGCTTGCCTAAGGTGGGTTTAGGGTTGATTTGGGATACTTTGGCTTGGGTCTAGTGGGTTTAGGGTCAGCTTTGGGTGGCTTAGGGCTGGCTGAAACTGGGAGTAATATTGCGCCTGGTTTAATATCGGTAGTCTGAATTATGTCAAGTTTCCCCGGCTTAAACACGACCCCCCCCACTGTTTCGGTACCATGATTTATGTCAAGTTCGAGCCCCACAAAATCCCGTGAAACAAATATGACTCAAAATTCGCAATATGGGCAACTGATTTCTCCTCTCAGCTTCCTGGCTCAGTCCCAGTAGTGAACCTCTGCAAATCTTTGGTTGCTCAACCTGGGACCAGGCCAAGACCTGAGCCTAAGAATTCCTGATTTGACCCCAAGCCCCAACCATCAAAATTATTTACTTAAATCCATCCAAAAACAAGCCCCAAACAGTCCTGCAAAGGGGGTTGCGCACAAGGGGGGTTGGTCCTCTTCAAGGGGCACTGTTTGGGTACCATGTTTAATGTCCAGTCTTAGGCGTGGGTGGGTTAGGAATCTCCAGGTCAGATCTTAGCCTCTTTCTTTTCAAAGGGGCTCAGCAAGGGACCAGGCCAAGACCTGAGCCTAAGAATTCCTGATTTGACCCCAAGCCCCAACCATCAAAATTCTTTACTTAAATCCATCCAAAAACAAGCCCCAAACAGTCCTGCACAGGGGGTTCGCACAAGGGGGGTTGGTCCTCTTTAAGGGGCACTGTTTGGGTACCATGTTTAATGTCCAGTCTTCGGCGTGGCAACCCAAAAGGAAGTGCTGGCAATACTAAACCAAATAGTGGCAGCCCAAAAGGAAGTGCTGGCAATACTAGACTAAGCAGTGACAACCCAGCAGGAAGTGCTGGCAGTACTAAAGCAAGAAGTAGCAATCCAAAAGGAAGTGCTGGCAATACTAAACTAAGTAGTGGCAATACCAAAGCAAGACTTAAGTCACCCAAGCCCCCTGCCAAATCCCTATTCAGGATCCCCAGGACTGTTTTGACTGTTTCAGGGGGGGGCCCACAGTAAACAAGGTCCAACATTAAGGTCAGATGACGGTGGGCTTAAGTTTAGGTTGAGTTTACGCATGGCAGATAGGTTTAAGGTTGGGTTTAATAGGTGCCTGCAGACAAAAACTCACTTGAACATGGGCCGTCACAGGCGGAGCTCACTTGCCCAAATGCAAATATCAAAGGCTGGCCTCTTGCAGCTGGGCAAACGATCAACCGGTCGACTTCGAAAGACCGTTGAGCACTTACGCTTTTGGATGCCAACCTCAAACTAAGTGGCTTCTCCTCCACCCAAAGCATCCTGACTCTCTTCTCCCCAAAACCGCCTTGTTTTTTTTGGGTTTTGTCCTTTCTTTTTTTTCCGAACGTCTCCCACAAAAAACATCGCCCCGTTCCCGCTTGCCCCGTTCCCGCTCGCCATGAGCCGTGCAAGCCTTGTACATGAGGCCGCTCTTCAGCTTGGTCACCCCTGGCTCGGCCTCCTTGGTCTTCAGGAACGCCAGGCCTTCGAGGTCGGCTCATGGGGAACTCACAAAGTGACATGCGCGCCGTCCCGAGATTTGTTATATGACCAAAATGCATCAAACCCGGTTTATGAGTAGGGGGTGTCCCAAAATTTGTTGACCCCATATTCATCAAACCCGGTTTAGGGGGTGTCCCGAAATTAACTCACTTTTTGTGACCTGCGCAAGCCCTCCCGAGATTTGTTATATGACCAAAATGCATCAAACCCGGTTTATGAGTAGGGGGTCCCCCAAAATTTGTTGAACCCATATTCATCAAACCTGGTTTATGAGTAGGGGGTTGTTGACCCCATATTCATCAACCCCAGTTTATGAATTGGGGGGTGTCCGATCCTGGGTTGAGTGGGAAATCAGACCACTTTTGGAGGGGAACACCCCCCTATCAATAAACTGGGGTTGATTAGTATGGGGTGGGTCAACATTATTGAACACGCTTCCCCAGAGGGGCAAGAGGCAATTTCTCCTGAAAGACCGGGAGTCTTCTATTGTTGGGTAACGACTTCTTGTCCCAGGTAAAGCAGACCAGACCGCTTCCTGGAAGACAAGCTTCTTCCAGTTGACCAGTGGCATTGTGCCGCGTTGACAAGTTGACGGCAAAACAAGGTATTCTGGGAGACGGTCCCCGTCCCTGGAACGACTGCCAAGGGAGAAATGAGACATTTCCGTCGACTAACCAGACGCTTGCCCTGACGCCCGGGGCACTGCAATCACGAAACTGAGGACGCCTCGTCTGCAAACATGCAACACGCCTTCCAACATTCGTGACTTCGCAATTCCAACCATGAGAGGTTCCGGGGGAAAATGAAGCAAGCACGCTTCGTGCGCGCACAGAAGCGCCTTCAGCCTTCATCAAGAAACCGGCCCCTTAAGGAACCATGTTTGGTGAAGCCTGTACCAATGGTCAAGCGTCAAAGCCAGACATCCATGCAAAAACAATCCCTGCAGCTCTAGGACTACTAGGTCCTCCAGTAGAGAGGTTAGATTAAGGGTACCAACTTGTTACTGTAGTCTATTTTAGTAGGGGAACCCTCCCTAAAAAAAGGTAAAAGGGCACTACTGGCGGACCTAGACTAGCTTCACAGATCGGCTCCTGCAGGGTCAGTCGGCATGGCTCAAGTATGCGCGACTGCGACAGATTCCCCACGTCCCGCTAGAGCCACCAATGCGGCGTGCATCTTGAAAGGAGAAGCTACTTCATGTCCGACAGATTCCGGCATCTAGGTACATTGAAATCGAGTGGCTCAAAATCAAAGAGCTAGGGTTACGCAGGTGTTGCATGGAGGAAGCTGCACGGTCGTTTCACTGAGTACAAGGCCTCCTACAATCGCCCAAGGGCAACGCTCCAACACGAAACTTAGTGCCACGTTGCCAGGACTTGGTTAAAGGGAAACAAACAGGAAACCACCCATGCTGGGGTTCCGAATCCTATTTTGAGACAAACCAACATGTCTTCATTTGAGTCACAATCAAAACCTGGTATCAAAATGCTACCCGGAACCATGTAAAGAATTAAGAAGCCAGCGGCCATGCCTTTTTGTGGGAAACGGACTATCCCTTCCTAACCTTCATCTGAGTCATAATCAAAATCCGGTATTAGAACCAGTGGCGGCCGCAGCTATTTATGGTTGGGCTTGTCCCCTACTAACCTTCACTTACCCGGATTCTCATCTGGCTGTGGCTCGTTTGATCATGGACTGAAACACAGGTCCCAGGATGGCACTGGCAATTCCTTAAAAAAAACCAACAAGGGAAAACACACAAATATATATATATATATATTCCTTCGCAAATGGCTTCGCCAGGGCCCAGGACTGGAGTTCGGCGGTCTTTCTCCATGCATCCGCCTTTGGCGTGGGTGAGACAATCGGCGAAGGAGCAAGCCTGAGGCATGGAGCCATGACGGGAGACACGGGGGGGCCAGGGCGCTAGGGGTTGATTCCTGTTCCATTCGTTTCAACCGTCGTTCTTCTCAAAAACCGGATCTGTTTCCAACCTGGGCTTTTAAGATGGTTTCCTGAAAAGATCCCCATCCCTGGAAAGAATGGAAATGGAAGGTACGCCTAGAATGGCCTTGTGGAAGGTTCACTAAGCCACGCTGCTTTCAACATTAGACTAAAAAGAGTGTCTGCTTCAAACATGTTTCAAGTGGGTGCGCTAGCTGTGCTAGTCTTCGTGGGATCTGTGGCTGGTGTTTGGTATGGCATTCTATCAGAATGCCTCCAGGTTGGTTCGTTCGCGATAGAAGAAATCCACTCCATCAGCGGATTCCACTTATTCTCCATTCCCCCTCGATGAAACTGTTGTTTCAGAGCGTGAACAAAACCTTCCATTTAGGCTAAGACCCCTGGAAAAAGAATGTCACGTAGTGCGCCCTAGCTTCCTAGCTTCCACCTTGCGGGCATTCAAAGGTCTAGGTTGTCATGGGGGCTGGGGGGGAGGGAGGTGAGGGGAGGGAGCCCCAAAAAACCTTATTAAGCCCTTATTAATTTAGGGATTATTTGGGCTCCCCCCCCCCTCCCCTCCCTCCCCCCCAGCCCCCATAGGGTTGCAGTCCAGCATGTACGAGCTGTCTTCAATTCATGGGGAGATTCTCGCCCTGGTTCACAGGATCAGCAGCATCCAACTACTTGGTAGGTCTTCAGTTCGGGCCCTCCCCGGCAATAGCACATGGATTGCAAACAAAGGCCATCAAAACAGGGCGCACTGTTGCCAGGTTGTCAGATGGAGCTAGCGACTTGTTCTACCAGGAGCCCTTTCCTTTCTACGTAGACCTGTCACGATCCCCTGTAAATCACAAAGGGAATCCAACCACTCCGAGGTCCTCCAGATTTGAGAGGTTTAGAATAAGTTGGTACCAACTTGTTTTTTCTGTAGCCTATTTTAGCAGAAGGACCCCTCCCCCGCAAAAAGAAATTGGTAAAAGAGGGCACCTAGCGGGGGGACTCTTAGACTCCAGAAAGACGCCCGAATTCCTGGATGAGAAAAATCCATTTCTCGCGCCAGAAGAAGCCAGGACAGACCATTCGTTGGAACCTTGTTTGGGTGTCTTGAGGTAGTGCGAAATGGATATTTCGTCCCATCCAAACTATCTTGGGGACCAGGGTTGTTACGTCAGCATGGTGCTTGGGTTGCTGGTTGGGCAGTTGGGGGGTTGGCTTCCCACTTGCCCATGGGTCAAAAGCCCGGTTAGCCCCAGCAGCTCCAGGGAGCATCCCCATCCAACCACTAAAATAGGCTCTAAAATGGGTGGTGCACCTAATTAATTACCCCAAAATGGTACCATTGGTTTTGACCCACAGCCATTTGCCCCCCACGAGAAACTGGGGTTCAAATTCCAACACCACCCATCCAAACCACCAATTTGGGGGTGCCAGATGGTGTGCCCCCATCTCACCGAGCCAAGTTTGCGGACACACGAAGCGCTACATGCAGGTCGAAGGCTTCGGCAGGCAGATTGATTTGCTTGGCGCAACTGCCTAACTTGATTCGGGTTCGACTGATTCAGTTTCACAAGGTCAAAGCCACAAGGGTATCTTGTTTATCAAAACAAGAGCAAAATGAGAGTTTCCCTTTTGTTGCCCTATTGGTTGCCCTCCAAAACCTCGAAAAAAAGGGTAGCCTCAAAAAAGACGAGCCACGCACCTTGAGACCTTGAGACAACGGCCACACGGAGGATCTGCAGCTTCCGCTCCCTGCCTCCCAGGCTTCAGCTTGGCTCCTCCTCGAGTCCAGCCGACTTGTCCTCGCCTGAGCCAACGAGGAAGCGCGGACCTACCTGAGAGACACGTTTTCGAGTCTAATGGAAGCAGCGTGGCTGATTGAACCTTCCACAAGGCCATAGGGGTACCTTCCATTTCCATTCTTTCCAGGGATGGGGATCTTTTCAGGAAACCATCTTAAAAACCCAGGTTGGACACAGCGAGCGCTTTTTTTAGAGCGATGGTTGAAAATAATGGCCATGGAATCACCCCAAGAGTAATGTCACCCTCGGATTTGTCCGGAGGACCGTACTGATCGGGGGGGGGACTATTTGAGAAGGTTTTCTCAACTTTTGGGCCCGGAAGACTCCGAAGTCGACGAGTCCATACGGATGCACCAAACCCGGACACGGGTTACGGAAAAGTGGGGCTCTTGACTGACCATGACTGAAAGCCGCGGCCTGGCCAGGCGGAAGTGGATTGGCCAGAAGTCCAGACTTTACCACTAAAATGGTCTCTCAAAAAAGTGCAGAATTCCTTCCTATTGGGGGGTGTTCCCTACAGTTGCCCGAACCCTCCACTCTAAGGGGACCCACCCCTGTGGTCAGAAGTGCCGGCGAGTGAAGAAAAGACTGTTGGGCGCGGTCCAGAATATTCAGGTGGCGAAGAATGTCGAGCCGATTGAAACCCTAAACCTTCCTACTAGATCAAATTTCAGTCAGAGTTCTGCACTCTACCTAGTACCCAAGAAGACACCAAGTGGGAATCCCTATCGTAGCAACCAAACACGGAACCTAGCAATTCATGCCATACGTACCCAATTGCATTACTTTTTCAGGATGTGATTGGGTGTTGCACAGACTCAATACTGAAGCTGGCCGAAGTTGGAACAATGACAGCTGTCTGGGTGTCCAGCTAACTTCTTTGGCCTGCGTGCTGTGAGCGGTCGCAAATCGAAATCGCAGCACACTGCTTTCAAAATATTCCAGCCCTGGACTCTGTGTTCGACAACTCTAGTAACCATAATGTGTTCTGCACATCATCTCGACCATTCGGAGATGAAGATGGTGACCAGGGCTTCATCCTCACAGGTATATGCAAACTGGTCTTGGGGCTACCTCTCTGTCTCCTGCAACGTTGCTTCTCCCTTCAAAAGTCATGGGAGCTGACCACATAATGTGGAAGACAACAAGCATCCCGTCAAGTCATCTTGCACTGTCTGCGCTTGGGGACCAATCCTTACGTCCATATCGTTTTTGTCGCAGCAATTTATTTCAAGGAACGCGGCTTGAACAACACGGTCAAAAAAAAGGCGCACTGACCCGGATGTCATGAACGACAACAAGCGGGGGAGCAGAAACCAAAGAGGCTGATAAAAGGGCAAACTATGAAATGAATGGAGCACACATGCCAGTCCAGATTGTCAAAAAAGAATTGCCTTTCGAGCAAAGGCAAGGTGTGCTTACAGCTTGCTTTGGCAGTCCACAATGGTGTCCGAGCGCAGCCCTGCTGCTGAAAGCTGAAACAACCAAAGCTCAGCAGTGACCGGACGTGAAAGCCTTCTGGATTCAGAATGGGTGCCCATCCACATGGGAGGCTTGTAACGACCAGAAAAGGATGTTCCTTGCAAGAAGCACCCAAATCGCGAAACAACAAAAAGCGGACCTCGTCCGTTCGGAGTCTGAAGATGTTGTGACTCAAAGCTTTGGAGAGCTTCAATTCAACGCTTGACAGACCATCACTTGACAAGAGGTTTTTGAGCAAACCGATGCGGCTTCGCAAGAATAGACACAAAACCAGGTCCACGTTCTTCGAATCAGGGGGTTGCCGCCTATTGGCCAAGCAAGGAAAAATATGCCCAATGGAGCACCAATGAGTCGATCAAGAAAAAGGTGGCACCCTGTGCAGTGCCTTAGAGGGGCTATCTGATTGATGCCTCCCGGCCTCAACCTTTGCTAGGGCCGCCTGGCCTCTTTAGAAAACAGGTCCCAAAATGTGGCAGCTAAACAGCCTTGACATGTGGCAATCAACAAGACCGCCCTGACAGGGCTAGGAGCTGAAGGTATAATTACACAGCTCAGCTCGAAGCCTGACTCATGGGTTTCACGCATTGGTGTTCGAACAGTCTACAGTGGTATTCTGGCCTACTTCGTTGTCTCAGTGAAAGTGTCAGAAGGAACCGTGCAATGCTGAACAATACGTTGCGAACTTTGTTTTCCGCTGCTTGACATAATTGTTTCCCCCAGTGAGAAAGAACCCAAGTGCCATAGGTGCCCGTTTTCCTCACAAAATAGACACCAACCAGAGCAACACACCTTCAAACCAACCTCAAAGATTCAAAGGGACACCTCCCAACCCATTTTCACACCAAACCAACCAACCAAGACTCAAAGGAACACCTCCCAACCCATTTCCAAACCCACCTAAATGGAACACCTCCAAGCCTCCCAAGCCGCCCAGCTGCGCCATCCATGTGTCCCCACCCCCAATTTTCTCACGAAGGGAACCTCCCCGCGGATTGGATCGAAGCTAGGTCCTCCAGATTTGAGAGGTTGGAATAAGTTGGCGCCAACTTTCTTCTGTTGTTTTTAGGGGCAGCCCTCCCATCCACAAAAAAGTTGGGCAAAAGAATTGGCACCTAGCTGGACCAATGAAGCCTGGTACATGGAAGGACCAAAATTCCGGCGGCCCAATTTGTTGGGGATGGACCTAGGGCATGTTGGAGTCCGCTGCCCTAGCTGGAGAAAGGGCAGTTCGCTGGGGGACCGATTGGAAGGATCCGAGACCTCGCCTTCACGTCTTTGGTCCTGCCCCGGATCGCCGTGGCGGCCGCCGGCTTCGCCTCGAAGCGAACGAGCGCCCGACGGTTCACGTGGATCTGTGTCGGTTTTAGGAAAATCGGACCCCCGGCGGTCCTCTGGGGGCGTTCCTGAAAAAAACAACAAACACCAAAAACAGGTACCCTTGAAAAAGGCGGAAACCCGTTGTTCAGAGGGAAGATGGTGCCTGTGTGTTATATCATGTTGCCCCACATGAACGTTGCATGGTGGCTGTTCCCTTTCTTGGACAAGGTCATGTTCTGAATGGCCACTATCTTTTACGGAGCCTGGGCAAGACACGGGAGCGAACGTCCCCAAAAGCGGGGAGGGGAGAACGTCCCCTTCAGATCTCAGATCTCCATGCCTTGTTCTTCATCGACTCCAATTCTTCGTGAAGCCGCTTCTCTTCTGCCTGCCACGCGCGACAACATGGCCCGGATTCAACAGCTGCGAGCTCTTTACATCCAAATGATACGAAAGCGCAACGACGGTCCGGCAAGTGGGGTCCAGTGTCAGGTTGCAAGTCGCAAGAACGTTCAAGCAAGGACCAAGGCTCCTGTGATGCGAATGTGTTCACTGGATTCGTCTAAATTGAAAACTGGCTCCCTCAAAATTCCCAAGACAAACATTCGGGTATAGGTCAAAATAGGCATCCAAAATGGCTTAATGATGCTTAATGGAAACAAGGACGACGATTTAACCCGCGGTCTGATTCCTGGTGGTTTAATTTTGACACATACCCGTTCCTTGGCTGCGCTGGAAGGCCCTCTTTCACTGCTAGCCTGAGCCACGCAGATCCAACATTTCTCTTCTATTGGCCGTTTTAATTAAAACGGCGAGACTACTTCCTGGTTGAATGGGGATTCTTGCTTTCTGTATGTATATATATATATATATCAGGGATCCTTACATTATACACCTGAACATTGCCTTGTCAATATTCAATGGTGGTTTCCCCATATTTTGTTGGAAAAAGCAACATGTTTCAAATGGTTGTAAAATGAATTTCTTTTAAGCAGCCCTGATCCCCCAATACTAGAACCTGTGGATTGAAAGTCTAAGGGACCCTCTGGTTGGTTCCATGTTGGAAAGCCCAGGAGCCCTGTATATATAGTAAGAAAACCAGCCCCTCCCAAGCCAACCCAAGCGCCCTCCCGGGCCTTCATGGCCCGGAACTCCGCCCAGTCTCGGTACCGGGGGTGGGACAGGCACAAGGTCTGCGAGTCGTGTCGAGTCGACCGCTGCGCGGCTCGGTTCCCGGGCTCCCTCCGTTGCTTGCTGCTCCGCAGCGTGCGAATGAATGAACGGCACTTTGGGCCCCTGCGGGGAAAAGGCAAAACCTCAAGGAATGGTTTTGAGCAGCAGCAGGTTGTCCACCGAGCCTCAGAAAGCAGGCACCCAAGAGTTGCCACTCCTATTGGGGTTCGCAGGCATGGCTCGGACTGGGGGTCTCGGGGTCCCTGAGATGCTTGTGGATCCCAGATCTGGCTGCCCGGAACTCTCCAGTGATGCCCAACCAAAATTATTTGGAGGATCTTTCAAACGTTGCGATTTGCTGGTCTCCAGTCAAAGCAGCCTCTTGGACCTAAAAGGAAACTGAGGGACCCGTGCCCAAGGTGCCATCAACATGCGGCAGATCCACCCAACAGCTTGGCTAGAGCCTGAGCAAGCTCTCCAATGTTCTGCGTCAAGCCGCCTTCGGGATCAAAGCAAGAAGCGCCAAGCACTTTGAATCAACCTGGAGTCTCGACCCTTTAAAAATGGTTGGTCGTTACCCAAAATAAAGGGGTCATGGACCCCCTCACTTGCCCAAAGGACCTGCAAATACAAGGTTAACCTTTTGGGACCTCTACTAAAAATAGACCAAAAAGGGAAAACCAAAAGGTCAAAAGGTCGATTCGCTTTGAACAACTGAGCCCCTCTTTTTCATGCGTCATGGAGACTCCAGGAACCAACCCAGACACCTCGCCGCAGGCCTCCATGATGGCTGCAGGAGTCCCGGCCGCCGTGGCAGGCGGAGCCTCGGAAGTGGAAGGAATTGGAAGCTGCGCCGTTCGGGCTGAAGTGCTGGCGATGGGGCGAGATGGGTCTGGTGTCATTCTTTTGACGGTTTCTGGGGGTTAAGTCAGAAAATGGGGGGTCCCTTTAACCCATTAACCCACCGCTAAGGGGGTGACTTTGATCATGGTAAAAGAATGAGGCCAGTGTGGGTCAACATGAGGCACCAAGAATTGCACCACAGGTTCTAGTCCTTGCATTTACCGGGATCTTCGCCATTTTGGGGTTACCCCTTGTTCGACCCACAGCATGGGAATGAGACATGGCATGACCCCAGGAAAAAAAGGAAAAAAAACGCCGACCGGTGGCTTCCTCTGGGTTCATTCCATTTCTCCTTCCCTGAGCACCAGCCAGATTGAAAGCGAAACGGCATGGAAAAAAACCCACTCCTTGGGGGTGTTGCAGTGGAAGCAAACAACTATGAGTGTGTGAGAATTGGCAGGATTCTGAAGGCCAAGGAATCTTCGAAGGCGTGTCTCACCATGACCAGCGGTTTGAACATGCTTGTGGGATACCTCACATGAGCCATTCAATTGAGCATTGCTTCCTGGTACCTCACGTTGCACACCACTCGCTGAGAATGGCTCCGCCAGTACCTCCTGCTGTCCTTCAGAGCTCAAAGGTCATTTGTTGGCGCGGACTCTGGGCACTGGGGAGGGCACTTTCAGCACACCTTGGACCACTTGATCGAGCACCTGCAAGAGTTCAAGAAAAGCCGCGAAACTCAGATTTGGGTGTCTTTTCTTAGGGGACCCCTCCAAAATGGTGGTTTTCCTTTAGTTGTCCCTTTTAAACCGCCAAAACAAGGTACCCTCAAAAGAAGGCACAGGGTTGGACGCAGTAGCAGCTTCAAATGGAAGACAACCTCAAGCTCGTACCAAGATAGTTGCCAAAGCCCATCAGCAACCCAAATATACGGGGGAATATTATGTTGCAGCAGTCTTCTGTTCTCAGTGGGTTGCTCGCTTGCGTTTGGCAAGAATCAGGTGGATGTGGGTCAAAATTAAACCACCAGGGGACCGCATGTTTTGGTTCATGTTGCCACTTACCAGGGTTCCATTTTGAGCACTTATTGTTGACCCACAGCCAGATGAAGAAAGTCATGCTGATGCAAGTACGTGTCAAAGGATCATGATCAGCAGTCAGCAGCGGTACATCTGCAGCATCACCTTGACTCTTGGACGCGGCGTGACAGACCCTAGGAAGTTGGATGAGGGCGCGCGCCCAAATGATGGACGGACACAAAGCCACACGTATTTTTGATGTCCACCAAAGGGTCCCCAATCAAAAGATTCACACCCTTTTCCATTTTGGGCATGGTATGTCTGAGGGCCAAAAGAATCCTTCGACTCCTCAAGGAGAAATATGAGGGTCAATGACCTTGACAGGGAATCCTTGACAGGGAATCCGAGGGTCAATAACCTTTCGCCCTCCTCCCGCATTCGATGCGCCTGCACCAAGCGCTCCTCCGGCAGGTTGTCTTTCTCGATCACGGCCGCCGATTGCCCTCGCGGTACAGCGGTGGGAACCCCCCCTGAAATCTGGCTGCTTTTCGCGGTCTAGCGGTTCTCTCGAGTGCAGCTTGCTAATGTCCAAATGGGATTAGTAAATGCACGCGTAATAAAGGCAAATGGGGGGCCCAAAAAGAATAATAAATGCACCTGGAATCAAGACAAGCACCCGCAACCCGCGCCAAACAAAATTCCCCCCCCAAAAAAAAAAGGAAAAGAAAGAGAGAAAGGAGAGGAGAGATAGCCAAGCCAACACCTGGTCCTTGGATCTTTGGTACCTTGTTCCTTAATTCCAAAATTGTCAGCTTTACCAAACCCATGTTTTCTTCATGTCTCTTGTTGAAAACCTGCCCACAATCAAACCCACAAAGGGGGTAGTACTTCAGCCCCCAACTTGACATTATTTCAGGGGCCCCCGAAATAAAGTCTTGTGGCCCGGCCCCCCCAAGAAAAACAAAAGGAAGCTCCAGCAATACTAAATCAAATGGAAACTCAAGTCTACCAATACTAAATCAAATGGAAACTCAGTTCCAATCTCAAAAGGAAGCTCCAGCAATACTAAATCAAATGGAAACTCAAGTCTACCAATACTAATACTAAATCAAATGGAAACTCACTTGAACTGGATCTCAAGATACTATTCCAGGTGCCCTCATCGTTGGGGGGGGGGACCCCTGTACTAATCCCCATTGGACAAGCCAACGCAAGCACAGAGTGACTGCACACACGGCAATGAGCAGAAGGCATGCCCTATTAAGGGCAAACCGCGTCATCCGACTTGTTGCTGCGGTACACCGCGCTGTGGAACTAGCTGCTGGGCTGTGTTTGGGCCAACATGCGACTCCATGAATCCACAGCTGAACCCAATATCAACATGCGACTCCAAAATCAAATCAACTCAACAGCTGTGCCAAACCGCGTGCCAAACCGCGTGACAAAGCGCGTGACAGCGCCTTGTTTGGCCGCCTTGCGAGCTGCTCTTTGGCTTGCCATGGCCTCTCTTGGGCGGTTCACACGACAGGCTAGAGGCCACTCCCTCAGAGCCACGGCGGCAAGAGCCAGAGGGGCCAAAGGGAAGCACCGCCAATGATGCAACCGTGATAGTAGACTTCGGCCCAGTTGTAGAACGTATATTCTGTGGTTTGCTTCACATGGAGTCACTGGTCAAATGTAAAACGTATCCTGAGCCTACCCCAGCAACTTGCCAAGTTGGCCAAACGCAGCAAAGCATCGAAAGGCTCATTAACGGCAGCCATCGAAAGGCTTACCTGTGAAGCGGGTTGGGTGCATCCTGCGCGCCTCAAACGCAAAGGCAGACAGCAGCAGAACGCCCTTGGGCAAGCTGAACAGAACGGCCAACTTAAGATATCAACAGGCATTCCCTACATCTACCAGGCAAACCAAGTTGCTATGGTCAAACTCATGTGGTCATGGGGGCCCCCAGAAACATGAAAAACGTAATGGGTTGATGGCCAATCCCGGAAACGAGTACAAAGCTCCATTGAGCATAGACAAGTTGCCCTGCCAAACCGTCACGCTTTGTGACCCAGAACAGCCAGCCCAACTCTTTTTCCTCGCAAGCTGGCTTTGAGCTGCAACCCGAACGCACAGCATGGCATCCATCCTGGATGCGAGCTGTGGTCGGTAACGCCCTGAAAGAACCAACCTTTGCGCTTGGTGCGAAAATATGTCCCACAAAAAGCTCAAAAGTCGTTAATTCGGTGTTCATCCCATGGCGACAAACAAGAGAAAGGAGCCAGCGCAAAGTGCGGGTCAATTCGGGTGGCGCGGTGGCGCCCCGAGCCCCGAGCGCCGAAACGCGGCGCGGAAGCGCGCGGAAGCGCGGTGCCATGAGACACTGGTCGGTCTCATGTAGCAAAGCGCTGCTCCTGAGGCTGTCTGACGGTCCCAAACCGGAAACTGGCCCGCTGGGGAGAAACCTGGCCCAAAGAGGTTGAACACAGTTCCTGCTTGGTTCACTTGCAATATGATTATGATCCGCTGTGTGCAGGTCAAGAAATGGTCTCGAGCTATAGGCCAACAAATTAGCTCATTGGGGAAGCGACGTACAACTCAGCGCAAGAGTAGTTTGCGTGATGGAAGAATCTTGAAAACACAGCTTTCAGAGAATGCCACTCTGTTTGCGTGAGCCCTCTGCAGATCTGCGGGTGTCAGAAAATTGATATTTTTTTTGATTACGATGAGGCATCAGGGCAGCCACTGTCGGCTTAGGCTCGGAGCTGACCCTTCAGCATAATCCTGGAAATGAAGAGGGTGTTTGTGCCTTCGTCCATAGTCACCTGTATGCGAAACGCGAGAGGCCTTTGTCCATATTCCCGGGGGGGAGAGTTGTTTTGGTTTGCATTTACAGCCAAGCCACGTCAAAAATCCACTCTCCCCACAAAACTCCGGGCCTCGCCGGGTTTTGCCCGGATTGTTCTTTTTTACTGGGGCGCCCGCCGGGCGCGGACTGGGCTGATTGGCCTTGCAAACATTCCGGATCGTCGACTCGCATGACACGCTTCTCACGACGAACCCAAGGAACTCAACTGCTTGCTCCATCATTCCACCCGTCCCTCGGCCCGTCCCGAAAGTTGTTGGTCGCAACCCTTGAAGCATCACATGCAATCTGAGGAACAAATTACGTAGATGGCCGTTCAATTGAAGTGCTCCTTGCATTTGCATGACGATATTAGTATTAGTTTCAAGTTGCTGTACATCCAGTCTTCCAGTCTCTATCAGGATCAACCAAAGGGCATTTGACTCAAGAGAGATCTTTGGGCCCGTAAGCCTCGAAATGGGCGCAACTCTCAGCCTTTGTCAACGGAAAGCAGCTGTTTCACCCTCGCCCACGGTGAAAGGAGAGTTCCGCTTGACGGCCACATGTCGGGTTGAATATGGCTTGTATCTATGCAGAGAGATCCCTTGCGATATCTCAAAAAAAAACAGAGAGAAAAAGCATGTTAGCCGCGTCACCTTACCAGTCGCTCAGAGCAAAAGCGGCGAAGCCAGACCTATTCTCACTTGCCCAAAAGACCTGGAAATTCTGGGACCTTTACCAAAAATGGACCAATATGGGAAAACCAAAAGTTCAAAAGGTCGGCTTTGGGCAAGTGAGTATTGCTATATTGACAAGTAAGCTGCCAGGGGTTCGGTCCTTGCCCTTCCAAGGCAGATCTCAGTCCAGGTGTTTCCACATTTGTGCGGGAAAAACTTGGGATGCCCCCCGTCTGTTTTCCTCTAGCTCCCTGCACAAGGAAGCACAAGGGGCTCGCGACATCAAGCACTCTCATTGACAAAGACCACGATCCCTGAAATCCAGGGCTTGCCTTGAGGCTGCTGCCAGCGGTTGCCTCGCATGGGATCCCAGTTCCGAAATTGGGGCGAAAAGACGGTTGCCCCCAAAATTGGAGAAACTGACTTGCTACGAGTGTCTTCCAAAGCTGCAGCTTCCCGTGCCCAACATACTGTGGATGGTTACGAAATCCATTTCGCGCCGCCGAAGAGGCCCTGGTTTGGGATGATTCCCCTGTAAATAGCAGCGAACCGTGGTTTCAACCATGGTTTCCAACTGGTGCGAAATGGATTTCGCAACCATCCACAGTAGGTGTCCTTTTAGGGTGGAAATAGATGGGTTTCCCTGGTAGATGAAACCACCAGGCGCCCAACCTACTTTTCGAGCAAAACAACCAAAAAGGACACCTATGGTGCCCCAATGGCCCACATGCAACAAACCCCCTACTCCAAATACCCACTTTTTCAAGGGTATTTTTTGGAAAACCTGGTTTTTCAAGGTGAATACCTCCTGTTTTAGTAGAGGGTCGACATCATACCCTACAAAAGAGGGTATTTGGAGTAGGGGGAAGGACTTACACAAATCACAAGTACGCAACTGGCCTAGCTTGCTGTGCAAACCTTGTTGGGCCATCGATGCAAAAGCCATGCGTGCACATGCCGCCGAAACAAGGGGTGTTTGGTTCCTGGTTGACACCTGCACTATGTTTATGATGTTCTAGTGTTGTAATGACTTGCAAGAGAGAATTGCAACAAACGCAGGGGCTCCAATAGGAGCTACCAAACCATGTTTATCAATCTAGTGGCCCACTTCCTTCGAGCCTCCACTAAAAGACGCCAACCCACAGAAGAACCAGAAACCTCTGGACAACCGCCCTCACGAACCCCCAAAACCCAACTTCATTTGCCATGAATCACATCATTTCTCCGGGCCTCTCTGAGCAAAGCCTGCATTGTGTTGATCTCCCGGGAGATGGTGTCCAACTGCAGCCTAGCCCGCTCGCTCGCTTAAGTCAGGCACACTTTCTCGCGCTCCGCGCCCTTCACACGGCTCAAAGACCTTTGTTCATATTCACCTGAGGTTGAAGGAAGCCGAATCTCTTTGGGCAACATGCAATAGCCGATCATGAAGGTGTTCGATTGGAGGAGCACGCCCTCAATGCAAAAAAGAGTCCTTGCAAAGTACACTCTCTTGCAAAACGAAACAGCAACCTGAGGGGTTCATAAACATGGTTCACTGTTGGGACTATGCGGGGGGGGGGGGGGGATGAGGTGATGGTTACTTCCAAGGTCGTAATTGCGTCGAGGAAATGCAACTGCCGTCGCATTTGACTCGGGAATGGCGAGGTGCGCGGAATCATTCGTGGCTCGGTGCCCTTACAGGGTGCCCGATAAGTCCATCCAAGCCTCGTGCCTTCAATGAGTAGAGTTCTACGTTGCGTGCCTCCAGCGTTTGCTTCGTAACATGTCAACGCGTGTTGTACACAGCCTACTAAAACAAAACACAAAAACGCAAAAACCACCCAACCCCCCCCCCCCCGTTCCCTCCCCGGCCCCAATCAGGGGACCCCCCTCCCGCGAGACCCCGCCGCACGCCCGGGCCCCTATACCTGGGCCTCCTGAACCAACGCTGCACCACAACCCAACAGGACCACAGGACCACGGAAAGGGGGGGGGGGCTACCTATATGACCCATGACTATGGGTGGGGGGGGGGGGGGGGGGGGCGGGAGCGGGAGGGGGGGTTAGGGACGCTGCAGCACATATGTGTATATATATATATATGCATATGTGTACATATATATATATATATATATGCACATGTATGTTAATATCATATGGACATGTTCTTGGACCAACAAAAGTGGTGTTCGTGAGTGATGAACCAGAATAGCTGCTATGGCCATGCCCACCCAGCATTTCCTCTGCCATAAAAATGAGACCCCTCCCCCCGATTTCCCGGGTTGGGGACCCTCCCAAAGTGTTCACTTGATGGTGCGGCACTTCACATGCGGAGGAAAAAGCCATCCAAGGCAAGACTTTTGCTGAACCGTACCTAGGTCCTCCAGTAGAGAGGTTAGAATACAGGTGCCCAATTTTTCTGTAGTCTATTTTAGTAAGGGAACCCTCTGGCTAAGCACTGAGACTTTTATCATAGTCAGAGTTCCAATAATCATGTCCCTTGCTGCCAGGAGGACGAGAATTGTCAGGTTGGTTAACCAAAGGACTCTGCCACCATTTGGGTGACCAGTTTTCAATCATGCTGATTGTTTCCATCTACACCCCAAACTGGACTGCATAACACCAAGGGGGGATACCAACCCGCCACCCACATCTCCACCTCCCCCATCCCACGCCTGTCTCTGGCGCGTTCCGCCTTCTCGTCTGCCAGCGCCTGACGCAAGTGGACCTGAGGCTCGTGAGTGGCAGGAAGAAATTTCCTGGATGTTCAACTAGGTCCTCCAGTAGAGAGGTTAGAAGAAGGGTACCCTTTGTTCTGTAGTCTATTTTATTAGGGGCTTGCCCTCCCAACCAAAAAAGAAACAGTCAAAGGGCACTGGAAAACCTAGCCAAAGAAGCACTTCCCTGGAAGATACCACAAAAATGCCTGGGGCAAGCAGGTTTTTGGCTGGGCCAGGTTGCCCAGGCGCCCCGGCGGTGTCCCCAAGGGCTTCTCGAGCCATTTCCTGGCGCGAAGCGCTGAAAGCGACCTCGTGAAAGCGCTTGGGTCGAAGGAACCCGGGGTTCAGAAACAAAAACACACCAAACGGCGACGGGCCAAGGGGCGAAGCGCCAAAAAGATATTGTTTGTTTGTTTGTTTGTTTTTCTTGGAGCAAGAGTCAAAGAGGGACCAGGACCAGGGACCCATGTTGGCTGCGAGAGTCTCATCAGGCGGGCTTGAAGCCTGGCGCGTGCGCGCACGTTAAACATGCCGACTCCGGACGTAGAGCGTGTTGATATCTTCAGGATCTCCAAGCCGCTCCTGGTGTCCACTGCGGGGCTCCCTCCACTTAGGGTACTAGGTCCTCCAGATTTGAGAGGTTAGCCTTTCTTTTTTCTGTAGTCCATTTCAGTGTGGGAACCGGCACTACTGGGGGACCTAGGGTAGCAACTCACAAAGCCAAGGGAAGAGTCTGACCTGGCCATCCTCCGGCCAGAAAATTGACTTGTAGGTTGCAAAGACCCAGAACACATGGTACATGGCAGTGTTGGAACAGATATCGAAGTGGCTTTGGCCCGTTCGGGAGGTCGTCGGCATTTCAAGACAACGTGGGTGTGCACACATATCATGCAGGGGCTAGTTAATATCCGTCGGGAAGACAAGAGACCTAGAAAGCACATCATTCCTGCCCAGCTGAGTCGACAGTCATCGAGTTTGACTGCTACATGTCTAGGTCCTCCAGTAGAGAGGTTAGAACAAAGGCACCCATTTTTTTCTGTAGTCTATTTTAGTAGGGGAGCCCTCCCAACCAAAACCGGTTGAAAGGGCATTACTGGGGGGGGGGGACCTAGCCAAGGAAGTCAGTCGGAGCAGACACCACCCACCACCCCCCCCCGGCCCCTAGTCCTCCGATGGCCAGTCCGCCTCCCAGAGCGCTCTTTTCGCTCGTTTCGGCGTTCTCTGTGGTCAGGGTAGTCAAGGGAGGGCACCCAGGGCAATGGAAAAACCCTTCCAACATTGCACAAGGGAACTCAAGGAATGGAGGGCATGGTTCCCAAAGGGACCTTCGGGGTCGTGCTTTTGGTGAAAAGGTTCATCCTGTTAACCAGCCCGCCGTTCTCAGAACGGAAGTCGGTGATACGTACGCACAAAGGCACAGGTGCTGTGAGAAACCGTGACAAAACTAGCAACCAGAATTCGGTGGATGAGAGGAACCCAAGTGCTCCCGCGTACATTGGACGGGAAGACCGAAACAATTACATAAGGTGTCTCTTATGGACCGTGATGCAAGCCAAAGGAAATACACACCAGCAAAAAAAACACCTATACATGGGAAGTTGATCTGCTCATAAAGGAACAGCCGCACTGTTGAAGCAAATTGCCCAGGTCAACAAGAATACCCAGAGCCACCTCCCAAATGGTTGCTCCCATGTTTTCAGAGATGGGCATCGCCTTTACAGAGACACACACGAATCAAAGAAATGGAATGAGCCAAAAGCAAGCATTGCTCACTTCCGCGCCAAAAAGAACTCACGAACTTGCCAGCTCTCTCTCTCTCTCTCTCTCTCTCTCTCGTCCTTAGCGAAGCGGATGCTCTCGACGGGGCCGGTGCCCTGGGTCGGGGCTTTGCTCCCGCCCCACGCTGATGGCTGCAAGCGACTCTGGTAAACGTCCACGCGGGCATCGAGTCCACACTTGCGCCCTGTTGCTGTTTTGTGAATCAACTGGCATGGCGGTCAAAGCCGAGCATCCCTACGTCTGGTACAAGGTACTTGACTCCCAACAGTAACGCCACCCTCCCTGTTCCACTTGGTGCTCACAGCACGCCCCTGCGGCTCTTACCAGATCGAATTGGGGAATGCAGGGCCTGAGTCCACATGGACTCCACCGTTGCGCGGACTTCTTGCACATCTTTACCTTGGCTCCGCGGACACTCGGAAAGCGGCCGGGAACAGAACTACCCTGTTCTGATAGATCATCGGCAATATGGACATGTGTCAAAACCGGAGACCCCTCCGAATGGTTCATGATCAAATCACGCTTCCCCGTGCTCATTCTTCTGACTGTGAGGTATCCAAACTCAGAACCCACCCCAACCCAACCCCCCCACCAGGGCTGTTTCCCGTGGTAAAAAAATCATGGGACCGGAGCCTTGCCCCTTTGACCGGAGCCGTGCGCCCACCTCGGGCAGAGATGGCCATGGGCTTTTCAAAACCCAAATCGGTTAGCCTCTAGTGAACATCGACCAATCCAACCACTAAAATAGGTTCTACAATGGGTGGTGAATTCACCTACCAACCAAAATTGGATCCCAAAACGGCTTAAAAAGGACTAAAATGGCCACCTACCAACCAAAATGGGATCCCAAAAAAGTTTTGACAACCACAGCCAGATGAAGAGGACGCCTTGGCCCCCCACATCGTGCCGAATGCTCCTTTGCGAGTGCCTGGCACGAGCAGCTCCGTGCCAACCCACAAACCAAACCAATGGCAGCCTAAGCGTGCCTGCAGCTACGAACTCAGGTGATGTGGGTGGCTTTTTTAGGTTGGACCCCTCAAAATGGCGGTTTTCCTTTTGGTTTCTCTTTGCAACCAAGCAAAAAAGGAGTACCCTCAAAAAAAGACAGGCGCATATTTGCGCAAGCTGCAGAGAATTTGAGGATAGCGTCTCCCAGCCTCCGTTGCCACAGAACCTCAGCTCGTTTGAAAGCTCACTATGGGAGCTGTCGAAGGCCGATCAGCCTGACGAGAAACGAAAATGATTGGGCTTTCCAACAAACTGCAATAGATGCCCTAATATGGACCATCCCACCTCAGCCCTCACCAATATCATGGTTGCATCTGGGGCTGAGCTAAGATGTCTTGAGCTACCTTCCGGCTTAGAGACCAGTCCAAGCGCTGCACTCATAACTCCTTCCCAGCTCGCTCTCTCGCTGTCATTGACGAAGGCATGCGTACCAATTGGCGAGCCTGCTAAAGGTATCCCAAAGTGGTGGACGAATAGGCAGTCTCAAAATGGACTCATTTGAGTTGATGCCCAGGCCAGAAATTGATGTACCCCAGCAGACGAGTCGCAGTTTGTGGATGCCACCCAATCTGCTAAGTTGCACAACCTAGGGGTCAAATGATGTGACACCAAGTGCTGGCAACATGGTAAATCCATGGAATGGTCGCAAAACAGTTGGTATCTGTCGTTTCTGTCAAGACGTCCTTTTGGGACAAAAATACGGCGGAAAGCACCGTACTTACCTAATGGCTATTTATTTGAGGTGTCCCCTCTATTGAACGGACATCTCTTTCAAGAGCTTGAATCGTGAAGCGGCGGAACACCACCTCACTCGTCACGAGACACCAACACGTTGAAGTGGCCCCAGGCGAGGAAAAGCACCCGAGAACGCCGCATCGCTCCAGTGAACTTCCCCACAAGAACTTGGTAGCCTGTCGCCTTCTCGTCCACCATCTTAGTCAGACATCTCGCCCAGGTCGACAACGTCCCGCTGTAGCACTGGTAGCTCCAAGAAATGACGTGGCGCTTTGTTCAGGCTTCCCCACAACTCCATTTGTTCAGGCTTCCCCACAAAAAAAAACAAACAAATGGAACCCTAGCCACCCCCCTCCCCCCATCTCCATTTTGAAGGACGTGGGGCTCCTCCGGAAAGTTCTGCCGGAGGCGGACCTGTGGCACCTCGATCACACCCGGTCGTGGCCCGAGCTGACGGACAGCTCCTCCGTGGAGTCCTGATCTTGCACCAAGGACTTGTCCATCATGTCGCGCGTGGCGGCACAGAACGTGAACAGAAGCATTGCGCTGACAACCTGCATGGCTAACAAGCCAAAGCACCCGCCTTTCAGGGCGAGTCAAGTCAATTGGCTTGAGAAGCTTGAACCAAAAGCAAAACAAAAGGTCAGGTTCTTATCGGACCCGGGAGAAGAATCTGATGAGCCGGTTTCTAGATTATATAGCGACTATATGTCTATTTGATTCTAGATATATATATATATATATATATATATATATGTGGTCAACCTGATAGAAGTCCTACAGCATACTGAGGATTCATAGCTGTGCGAGATAGCTCGGCACGAACCGTAAGAGGGGACGCTGCAGGATGTATCGATAATATATAACCTGGAACAACTCCCAAAACTGACTAACGAACGTCACTTTACTCATAATGATGTTTATAATAATACGAATAATCATTGTCATGATCACCATAATGTGAACCTGCTAGTAATACTGAAAATAATAGTAGGCGTGATCTTCATCTTCATCTTCATTATCATCTTCATCATCATCATTATCATCATCATCATCGTGCATCTGAGTCAAACGACCAGGCGCGACTGCAAAGAACTTACCAGTCCTTCTCATCTTTGCCTATCAAACGCTGGTTCTGCTCTCGCAAGCTATGTGTACAGTACGCATGTGCATGCATATGTGTATGTGACATGTATGTGTTTATGTATGATTATCCAAATGAAGACATCGTGTATGCACCTTCCCTTCCCCAAGCCTAGTCATGTAACCGAAGCGAATATATCAGTGACAGTGTATATACATGGGCATGGGTCAAAATACACCCACCAGGGGACCGCAGGTTTTAGTCTTTGGTTCCCTTTACCAGGGTTCCATGTGGGGTACTTATTTTTGACCCATAGCCAAATGTTGGCTTGCATCTTTTGGGTTCGAGGGGTACACGCCTGAGCACGGTGCGGTGTTCATCCAGCAAGTTGAAGATGCCGCTCACCTCCTGGCGGCTTTTTCTAAGGGTTTTTGTATTACACCCTGGGAATACACCCACTGGGTATTGACCCCATTTAGGCACATTTCCGGATGAAACCGTGTGGTTTTGAACCATTCTGGGTCATTTCCCAAGGGTGTAATCCCAGGGTGGAATACAAAAACCCTCAGATTTTTCCAGGGGTGAGCAATGCGAACAGCCCCGTGCAATTTGTGACCAAACCGACGAATCAAAGGGTACCAAAACCAAAAAGATGTGTGTTTTTCTTTGCTATTCTCTACACCAAAAATGAAAAGGGTACCTAATACACAGTTTTTCGGGCTCGGAAAACAAAACATATATGGGACTAAATCCGGGAGTTTTTTGTCCGGTAATAGCACCCATCCAACTGCGGGCTTCCTTACATATCCTTATCCAAAAGTGCTCAGCCGACCAATGTCCAAGGGGGTAGCACATGGCCACCCCAAACACTCAATAGTAATATAGGAATGAACAGAGATTGCGCAACCGTGTCTCCGCCCGTGCCCAATAGTAATTCCTCTCCCTCTTTTTGCCCCCTAGTTCTTTCTCTTGAGTACTAAGATGGTCACCCATCCCCGAAACCTAGAAAGTGAAACAGGGGTACTCAATCGCGCAACCGTTTTCCAGGCCGAAAATACCAAATACTACTAAGCCAATGCAAAACCAATACTAAGCTAGTGCTAGGGCAAAGCCAGCACTAAGGCAGCGAAAAGCAATGCTAAACCCATTCCAAACAGTACTGGGCCACTGGTGCCAGGCAGAGAGGACCAAAAAG